AGAGGAGAACGAGGGCAGAAACGTCTTAGGCCAAAGAGCCATCCTTAGTTTGGTTTTAGGTCTGTACCATGAAGATTTTTTTTTTTGCCCTTTTCGTCTCACTGACGGGTTGCTGGAGACTGGGACTGGTGGTGCTTCCCACAAGGCGAGAATTCTCTCTGTTGCCTGCCAGCACCTTGCCCCGCTGTTTGGAGGTGATTTTAATTTAAACCAAAAAAATAGCTTGATGAAAGCCAGCCATGGGATGTTGGGATGAGCTGCCTGCGTGGCCCGAAGCCTCTCACCTGGATTATGTGGTGGGGACACCAGACTTGTGTTCAATGGCAGGGTAAATACCATCGATGTTTTTCATAGTTAATAGAAACGATGACTTGTGTTGGTGGAGCCTGACAGTTTCGGGTGGGTGGCAAACTGGGGCTCGGCTGGCACCCTGCCAGCCTGCAGGGTATCGTCTCACCGAGACTCTGAGAGCCTTGCAGGACAGGATGCATCAGGGTGCAACCTTAGCCCACCTTCAAGATGCTCTTGAAGGCAGCTTGGGCTTGTTGAGCGTTGCAGCATCCCAAGAAAGCTCTCAGCTTCCCAAGCCCCCATTTGTTGGTACTGCTTTTTATTACTGGTGGGGGGTACCTTGGGGCTGGGAGCGGCGGTGGCATCAATTTTCAGCCCACCAGCTCGGTGCTGTTTTTTAAAGTCAGCCTCCGAAATGCTCTCGACCTCGGCGGTGCCTCACAGCAATTCTGGGGTTGAGCCCACCGCGGGGCGGGGGCCAGGAAACGGCTCACCGCACCCTGCTCTCAGCAAACCTTCGCGCCTAGCAAAGAACCTAAACTCTGCGCTAAAGAAAGTAAATAAATAAAAGCACCAGTCCGCGGCTCCTGCCAAGGCTGTGGGCTGAGCGGAGGTGAGTTGTGATCCTGGCTCAGCCAGCCTGGGAAAGCAAATTGGGGTGATGCTGAAGTGCTGGCGGGGATGCTCGGGATGCTCCGGTTGCTGCTCAGTGCGGCCGCACTGGTCCCTCTTCCCTGCTGCTCTTAAACATAATTAATACAGCAAAATAACCTGGTTTCGTCCTAAGGATTAGGTTAAGAAAACGAGACAGTTTTAATAGACCTTTTATATCCTACATAGATTTAACTGAAAAACCTAGCTGATTTGGCAGTGCAGCTGAACAGCACATCTTTGTTTTTTCTTTTTTTCCCCAATTTTTTTCCCCCATAGCTTGATGCCAGCGGTCCTGCACAAGCAGGTTCCTACTGCTAATTTGAGTGCCCAACTCCTGGCTGTGCTGTTTTGTCCAATTTCCATTGCCTCCTGACCTCCATCCTTCTTTATTTGCAAAGCTATACTCACAGGCAGCAGTAATAAATCAATTAATGACTCTGATGAATCGTTTAATGGCTGACAAAATAACACTACAGTCAACAGCTTGGATCTCTACAGCAGTACCAGAAGACGCTGGTTGACTCAGGGTAGGGAGACGAAACAGAGACTGTTAGCTCAATTAGTGCAATTAGTGTGCGATTTAAAGGCTTAGACGGCATCTGCTGGCGTACCAAGCCGGTGTGTTAACTGAGAGCTTCGGTTTGGAAGCGAAACGCGGCAATCTAGATTGTCATTGCTCCGCTGTCTTCCTCCAAAAACGGGGAAAAAATCCACCGTATGCGGGTGAGGGCAAATATATAATTTTATTTTTATATATATATATACACACACATATATATGTATTTGTGTTTGTATAGCTATATATGCGTGCTCCAGGAACTGCATTTTATTTCCAGTGTGGAGCAAATTTACCATCTAATAAGCTCTGGCTGCAACAGAGCTGTCCTCTCTCATCTCTGTTTTCAGCGGAAGGAAATTTGGGATGTCACGTGCCAATGGGCACCTTTGTGTGGTTGGATGTGCTTTCAGTTTAGCATCAGCTCGGACGTGGTGGCACAGTGGGCTTTGTGCTCCTGCACCACACCAGCACTGTCCATCCTTGCTGGAGAAAGGGGCTTGGCAGGCAAACTCCAGCCAAAAGCTCCCAAGTCCCTAAAAAGAGTTTCTGAGTCCAAATGGTGAAAACAAACCAGGTGGGGAGAGCTGCGAGGGCAGAAAAGTCTTGTTTTTCTAGAAATGGATGCTGGCGAGCCCTTGGGGTTTGGTTGCTCATGTTCAGGGTCTGGGCCCTCACCCTTGCGGTTTGGGAAATTTGTTCCTACTCTCCTTTTTTCCCTTTTTTCTTTCTTTTCTGGCTCATCCCAAGGGTTTTGCAGAGCTGCTCCAGCCGCGGCTACGCTCCCATCGCTTCTGCGGGGCTAAAGGTGCCTCTGTGTTTGCCTTAGCAGCGGTGATCGGGAGGGGAATAAAAAAAGAAATAAAATGTCACTTCGCAGCCTTGTAAATCATTCATCAAGGGTTGACCAGTTTGGCTCCCATCCTACAATATGCTCAGGGCACTTGTGGGTTTTTAATTACCGAGTTCTGCCAAGCGCCACATGTGCGAGGAACTTTAGATCCCGGTTTACGCCGCGAAGGCATAGGTGAGGTTTCGGGGTGTTTAATGCGGAAAAACACTCTGTGGTTTTGTGGAAAAACGGGCATTTGCGTCAAGATTTTCTTTGGCTGCTTTGCCCTCCCTGCTCCACTCCCTGTTGCGGAGGGAAGACGGAGGAGGGCAGCGTACCTTCCCCCCTGGATCCCCAGATACGCGTCCGTCCTCGCTCCTCAGCGCTTCGGGATCCATTTCGCTTTGGGAGATTCCCCCAGCAAAGGATTATGGTGTGCTGGAAATCTCTTGAAACCATAAAATATCACCTTGGCAGCTTTATTGCAGCGCTCGCCGCCTTGGGAGAGAAGCGTTTTGCGTGATAGAGGGTTTAATAAAGGAAATTCCAAATGGGCTCACTGCAGTTTGGGGCTCGGTCTTATATATTTTTGCATTAAGAACCGTCATCTGCTTTGCAGAGAAACCGCAATATGTTCATGGCCTTGGATTAAGATTTGGTTTTACTTTTATAGCTGACCCACTTGGGGGGATGGAGGGAGGGAGGGGGAGAACTGGGTTCACTCCCTCTCCCATCTATTTTTGCTGTCGTCTGATGTATAAAAAGAGCCTGGAATGGGCAGGCTTATTTTTCCTGCCAGGACTTTTTTTTTTTTTTTTTAACTGTAAAAACACTCAGATCTGGCCTTCACCATAGATGTGGAGCAGGCTGCTCAGGATGCCTCGTTCAGGGACACAGGGGGAGCCTGGTGCGGGCTGGGCGTGGGGGCGCAGGACCCTGCAGCCGTTGGGGGGACCTCAGTTACTTTGCAAAGGGGATCTCTTCTGCACTGTCATCTCTGGCACTTGCAGCTCGGAGATGCTGGGGTGGAAGAAGCAGCCACACATCCAGCACGGTCCTGGCCTTTACTCTGTATCCCTCATGCTGGCTCCTGCCGGAGACTGCGATGGAGGGGACACGAGGGATGGTCTCCAGGAGGGCACAGAGCCTGATGTCAACCTGATGCTCTCCTGCCTGTGCAAGACTTTCTGGTCCAGAATAGTGAGATTTCCAACCAGACATTGGGATCCCGCCTTGGCAAGCCTTAGTCCTTAATAATAATCCTTAATTTTCTGGGCTCCCGAGTCCTGACACCCTGCCTTCTCCTATCTGCTCACATCTTGCACTTGTCACTTGTGAGTTGCAGGTGAGGGCTGGGGCTGGCTCGGCTGCTGTCAGGACGTGGGGTTTGGTGGGGTCAAAGTGATCCATGCCCTGGGGTAAAACCAAGCCTGAGCAGGCTCACACGTGTTCCATCTGCCTGTGGGATTTCCTTGGTGGAAAATTTTTCCACTGATTTTTTGTGTGGTGGATGATTTACATTGGCCCTGGTTTTAGGTTGGTAAGTCCGTTGTAAAAATCCGCAGAAGGAGTAGTTCAATGATCCAAACACAATTAATGTCACTGATGCTCCCTTATAACTGCTCCGGGAATGGGGCTTCGTCTGGTGATGGGTATAATGGCACAGGTATTGCTCCTAACCCAGCAGGGACGTGTGTGAGCCGGGGTCTTTGGGGAAAGATTTTTTTCTTACCATTTTCCTTCTGGGTAGGAGCCTCCCATCACACTGGTGCTTTCCCAAGGCGGTTTGATGCATGCCACCCTTCCCTTGGCACCACTGGAGCAGCACCTTGCACTAGAAAAACCTCTTCTGTCCGGTTAGCTCAGTCGGTCAGAGCGTGGTGCTGATAACACTGAGGCCGCGGGTTCAATCCCCGCTAGCCTGATCTAGTTGAGAGGCGTCCCAGCCCATGGCAGGGAGATTGGATTAAATGATCTCTGAGGTCCCTTCCAGCCTAGGCCATTCTATGATTCTAGGCTCACAGAGAGGAAAGAAATACAAATGGAGATGCTGAGGAGTGAGCGGAGTGTCCAGATAGCCTGTGTCCACCTCTGTCCCCGCTTTTTGGTGCTGCATCCACTTGGGTGGCTTGTCCTGGGCAGGTGCGAGGTGGAGTGTGATCCTATGGATCGGTTGTGATAAATTTGGAAATTCATAATAAAACCATGGTGTGCTGGTGAGCTCTGGGAAAGGCGTCTTTTTCAGAGGACAGAACTGAACTGGCAAGCATATGAGGGGAGGTGGGGTAAGAGAAGCATTTAAAAAGCCTTAAAACAGCATCTGCCTGAAGTGACGCATTGCATGAGGCTCCTTCGTGGATTAGCAAGACTAAATGCCTGGGTAAATGCATAAATAAGCCCCAGAATTTTCCCCATTTTTTCTGCAGTCATCTTCTCCATGGATGAATCGCAGAAGCCGGTGCCACCATGGCTCTGAGCATCCTCTGCTCATTCCCTCTGGGGGGAAGATGCTCGGGGCGCAGGGGGCAATGCTCGGGGCTCTAGAGGTAACAGGCACATTGACTCACTGTGTTGTGGCAGGAGAGACAGCTTTTTCAATGTGGGTTGGTTTTTTTGCCTAACTCCGACTCAAACCCACCGTGTTTGTCCTGGTTTTGTTCCCCACAGAGCGCAGCTGCCGCCCCAAGTCCCGTGCTTGGAAACATTCCCCCGAACGACGGGATGCCCGGGGGCCCCATCCCGCCCGGTTTCTTCCAGGTAGGCTCCCGCTCCTCCCGATGCTCGTCTTCACACCACGCACGTGTTTGCTTACGCTCTGAGTGTCAGCGCTGTTGTGCCTGTGTTGTTGTTGTTGGTTTTTTTTTTTTCCAAAGGGATGCTAGGGAAGCAGCATGCCCGCATAGCTGACCTGTCTAGGAATAACTTGTGTTCTGCTGTCCTTCCACGTTTGCTTTCTATTTTTTTTGTGGCCTTAAAGCAAATTTCTTTCTTGCTCGAAGAGGTTACTGTGTATTTACAGCCAATGTTTTTTTTCCAAAGCTGCTTGGTTTGTGTTTGGGTTGGGATTGTATTTGTTCTCCGGTCCTAACAGACATGCATAATTGAAAACATTCTGGATTTTGATTCCTGAAACTTTTTCCCCCTCCTCTGGTTAACCGCTTGATTTTTTCCAAATGCAATCACTGAAAGCATTAACAAATGCTGGCTGTGGCTGCAGGCAGGAGCTGGCTCCAGCCAAGTCCCCAAATGCTGCAGAGGCACCTTGTAA